GGCGCTCTAATGCAATATTCAATTAACTGGTGCTCAAGGCCTCAAACCTGTTCCTGAGATGGAGTAGGAACCAATTAACAGTTGACCCTCCAACAGGCGTTTGGGAGCCTATATATCACAAGGGAAGAGATTGTTATCTTTCTCCCTTGGAGCCTCTGGTGCCACCAGAGAGGTGCCAACTTTTGGTTAGCAGCACACCTCCCTACAGAGCAGGCCACCAGACAGGAATATCATTTGAAGGACGCTTCCATTATCTAGTTTATCTGTTCTCTCTTGTCTGTGCATTTTGCAGTTATATTTGATAGTCTATCTGTCAGTCTAGAGACTAAGGTGCACTTAAGCCAGGCCATGGTCTTCACAACTACTTGCTATGCATCAGAGAGCTGAACAATGACTAAGGATGACAGAAGAACTGATGCCTTTGAGTTGTGGTGCTGGAGAAGAGTCTTCAACATACCATGGACTGCCAAGAAAACAAACAGGTCTGTCTTGGAGAGGGTGAAACCAAATCTCTCCTTGGAGGCTAGGATTTTGAAGCTCCATCTCATATACTTTGGGCACATGGTCAAGAGAGACTGGTCCTTAAAGAGGACATCATGCTTGGAAGGGTGGAGGGACAGCGAGGAAAGGAAGACCCCAGATGAGATGGACTGATACAGTGACTGGGGCAATGAAGTTAGGTATGCCAGAGTCAAGGACTCTGTCTCAGGACAGGGCAGGGTTCAGAACTGCTGTACATAGGGTTGCTTTAGGTTGCAGGTGACTCGATTGCAAGTAACAATAACAGCATCTATGCCATTCACTAGGGTTCCCAATTTTTTTCATAGATGATTTTTACACATTTGAGTTTTACACTTATGTCATTGATCCATTTTGAGTTAATTTTGTATATGGGGTGAAGTACAGGTCTAGTTTCAAATTTCTGCAAACTTACTTAGTTTTACAAGTACCATTTGTTAAATAGTCTTTTTCCTGATTGATGGATTTCATCTCTTTGTCAAAGACAGGATGATGGATTTATTTCTTGGTTCTTAACTCTATTCCATTAGTCTATATACGTGATTCTATACCAGTCCTAAGCTGTTTCAATTACTGTGGCTGGATTTTGGGATCAAGACGTGTAAGACCTCTTACTTTGTTGAACTTTTTCAGTATCCTCTTGCTTTTCTGGGGTCTTTTTCTTTTCCATATAAAGTTAGTGATAACTTTACCTCCCTATCTCTTTAAAATATTATGATTAGATCTGGATTGGAATTGCACTGTATTTGCAGATTACTTTTGGAAGTACTGCAATTTTCACAGTGTTAAGTCTTCCCATCCATGAACACAGTATATTTTTCCACTTATGTAGGTCTGATTAGCTTTCTGGTTTCTTGTAATTGGTTAAACATTTAAAATCTTGGCTGGAATTATGAATTTCTGGGGGTAGGGTAGGGAGAGATGTGGCAGCAGCTAACTGCATCAACAAATGACACATGCCAAAATGACATCACTTCAGATCTGTGCTTAATATGTATGTGAATCATCTGCAAGACCTTGCCAGATGCAGCTTTGGATTCAAAAGATTTAAGATTTTGGAATTCTAAACAGTCCCTGGCTGTGCAGACTACACTTAGTAGCAATGTTCCAGATTGCATTCATTCTGTCATACTCTTAGAAGGGATCACAATTAAATAATTATGTTTAAACTGCTTAAGAAGTCACCTGAGATGTCAAATCTCTAAATTATTCTCAAACTCCTATTAGGAGTTAAAAGCTCTGACTACTTAGGAAGATCTTTTATATCTAAACGACACCATTTATTATATACTGTGCCATTTTTCTTGAACGGAGATAGAGTTAGTGCATCATGTCCATTCTCTTCAAGGTTACTTTATTTTTGAAAATATAAAGTTACTCAATTTTAAAAATAGGGTGTGCTGGTTTTGGTTTTGTTTTATCATCTCCCTATCTCTGTTTCTCCCATTTAGCAATCTAGCCTGGTGATCTACTTCAGAAAAAAACTACAACTGAAAACTTTTTTTTTTTTAGGGGTTTCAAGGGCCCATTAATATTTTATTTTAAACTTTATTCAATTAATGTAAATGAATACTTACAGAGTTTTTGGATTTCCATTCATTCAATTTTGCACTTTTCTCCCTGCCTATATTTTATTTATTTTTTTTTATTTTGCACCCTTCTCCCCACACAAACCCCTCCCCCC